GAAGTTGTGCCAGGGCCGGATTTTTCAACAAGACAACGAACCTCAACACTGCTCAAACTCTACTAAGGCATTCATGCAGAGGAACAAGTACAGCATTCTGAAATGGCCATCTCAGTCCCAAGACCTGAATATTATTGAAAATTTATGGTGTGACCTAAAGCGGCTATCCATGCTTGGAAACCATCAAACCTGACTGAACTGGAGATGTTTTGTAAAGAAGAATGGTCCAAAATACCTTCAACCAGAATCCAGACTCTCATTGGAACCCATAGGAAGCATGTAGAGGCTGTTATATCTGTAAAAGGAGGATCTGGGTACATGGTCGGCCCCCTGATCCGACTCATCCTTGCTGCTGGTCCATGGGCCCAGATGGTCCCAGATGGTCATGGCCAGTCCCCACTTACCGCCCGCAGAGGGATGGAGTAGGCTAAACCAGACGGCTCCCCGGCCTAGGTTGGGCGATGGGAGTATGTGGCGGGGTGTGGCTTGCAGGGAGGCTGAGACACACTGGAGCTCCATCAGCCAATTACGTCTCCCCTATTAAAGAATGTACGAGGACATGCGTTGTTGTTTTGTGTGTGGCTGGCAGCTGAAAAGCTGCGGCCGAGTGTTAGAGAAAAGAGCAACCAAATAATGAAGTGTCGAAACTGCAACTATGTGGTCCATCATTCATGTCACACATTTTTCTTTAAGTGCTTCCTGTTATGTATCTTGAAATCCACTTTTTTTTCCCCGGGGAGTCCCATATGTCAACTGGAGTTATTTGTGGGGGGTTTTCTTGCATCCCGAACAAGTTTTGTAGCAGTTTTGGCTGAAATGTTTGTCTCCATTACAACAGAATTGTTCCACTTCTTTGTTTGAACACTGCTGATTGATGCTGTCAATTGCCTGGACATCTTTTATTATATCATTTTTCCTGTTTCATAAAGTTCAACTATCTTCTCCCACAGATCCTTTGATAATTCTTTTGCTTTCCCTGTGGCTCAGAATCCAACATCAGTGCAGCACTGGGGGTTTGTCAGGAGCAGAAACTCACTGACGTTTTATACACAAACTGATTACAAGGAAACAGATCACAGACTGGTTACCTTTATTATTAAAACTGTCATGGTATATAAACGTTGATCATGGTCATTTTGGTAGTTTCTGTTGTCATTATGATTTTAAAAGGGTATGTTTGATAATAAATGGTTTCTCCCAACCACTAATCATGATTGAAATAAAAGTTTTGTATTATCGATCATATTCTCTGGAAAATGGCCCAAAAATTACAAATTCTGCCACGGTATGTAAACTTACCAGCACAACTGTTTATAAACAAATCACAATCCCCTCTGTCCTTTTTGCTCATTAACAAATTCAGATTATCTGTCAATGTGTTTTGTTATATTGCTGTTACATTTACTAAACATGAAAAATTTTGAAAAGATTTTGGTGTCAATTGTAAATTGAGGAAACATTTCTTTCACTTTTGCCATCTTTAATTCATACATAGTTTTCCTTAATCTTGTTTTTAGCACTAAACCTTACATACTCAGTCTGGCAGCTACACTTTTTGCTTCTTGTCAAATTCAAAAGGATTAAGAACCCTGAGACACGACATACACTCCATGTCGTGCTCTAAATGGTTTGTATCCTCCATCCTCTGCTGTACCTAGAGATAATGTCACTCTCAATATCATCTCCTTTCAGTGACAGAGCCCCCACCTTCTACAAAACGACTTCTCAGCGTTTTAGGTTTAGGCAGCAAAAGGAAATCAATTTGCCTCATATATCAACAGTAACTGAATTGAAATAGACAGCGAAATGTTAACAATTGCATGCTGAACATCACAATAATAAACTAAATAAAACTGTTCTCACAAACAAAATTTAGACCACCCCTTTATTTTAAAGTACACGCTGCACAGCCGTGAGACCTGTTTTGACCAAACAACATGTCTGATCCATTTAATGACTACTCAGTGATTTCAGCATACCACAACTTAAGCTAAATGTTTAATAATGCATTTCACATTGTGGAAACTGATTCAGTATACCTTTTGTAGAACTTGCTGCACACATTAATTTGTCACATCATGCAAATCTGTTGCTTCTAGAAACATCACCCCCAACTCCTTCTTGAAGGCGTATCATAAAGACCCTGAACATGTGTTCAAACATCATGCCAAGTCTGCCACTGTAGGAGGAAAGGTGAGTCAGTCAGCTTTTTTCAATTTAATGCATTGTGGTTTGTTTTCTCCACAGAAAAGGGTACATGCAAAAAGTCATTAATATTTACAGTATATACAAGATCTTTAGTCAAAGGGATAGTTAAACACACTACAAACATACATTTCAGCAGTACTAGAAGTTTGAGCAAAGGTATTAACATCTATCTCTTTGATTTCAGCACACAGCACTGAAAGTGAATATAAAATGCAAAATATTAACAGTTATATGAGAGCCTGGACACTGAACCCGTGTCTGGTGTGGATCAGGCCAACTAAACATAAAGATCAGAAACTTCTAGTCAGGTTGTTAATCTGTCCATCAGAATAAAGGATTAGCTAAATGTATCCAAGCACGGGGCCCATTTACAGAGCTCTAACTGTTTAAAACCTGTGAACTTTGTTACACCCAGCTCAGGGGAAACCAGTGCACAACACAGAGAAAATAAAAAGAAAAGGGAGAATGTCCTCACACTCCCACTCTCAAGGAAAACAAACCAAAAACTGCCACAGAGTTACATGACCAGTCAGTTTATTAAATTCCAAAAGGTAGCGGGCATCAGGGTGAGCATGGCCAAAACAACAAACAAAACTCTCTAGAAATGAAATGAAACTGGCTTACCTACACGGAGAAAACCCAAAAGAAAATGCAGGTCTCTTATCTGCCTCCCTAACCAAAAACAGGAGGAAATAGCTTCGCACCCCTACAGCTACCGAGTAAAAATATTTACAACAAAACTATTCACAACACAGCAAAAACTTCTCATTCCAGAGAACAGATTCTCAGCCACAGCTCATTGGGAACAGAGCCAGGGGGCAGAGCGGTCCTCATTTATAGCCGGCCTCTCCCAGTGCTCCACCAATGGTCAGCCTCCACCTGGAACTCACATATCATCAATAACATAGAATAACACACCACCCTCTGGTGTGGCAGACAACAACCACACAGTACAAAACATGACTCCATGACACTGACTCATAACAACTTATTTGTTGGGGTTTTTTTGCATTTATTCCAAGCCATCTAGTGGTAACTTAAACTGAAAATACGATGGCCTTTCTTACCCAGATATGAGCATATATTTCAAACAACTTACAGTGACAACTTGGTCCTACTCGAATGTGAGGAAAAAGTGACAATGAGAAAGTGATACTTGTCATTTGGTTGTTTTAACTCAACATTATTTTGGTGAAGCCAGAGGAGGAAACCGATGGGAGGACTGTGAGTGCTCAACTAGAGTGGAAAAGTGCTATGAAACTGTCACAATGGCCACGGGCCGATAGCTAGATCGGACTCGATTGCAGATAACCACAACAGAGACGGCTCAACGTTTTGCAGTGTTTATTATTTAGTCAACAAATGAATATGTGGCAGGGTGTCGCTAATGATGTAACCGTGTGACAGCGGGGGTGAACGGGGATCTAGCAGGTTGCGATGGGAACGGAGCGGTTGCGTCTGGGAAGAAAAGAGAACAGGGTTAAGAAGGCGGCAGGTGCAGGGTATCCAAGCAGAGGTGAAACTGACTGATAGCGCTTACTGGTGACCAGCGTGAACCTCGCTTTGAGGGAGAGGCAGCGATAGTCCAGGGGAGTAGTGGAGAGGCTGGCAGACCTGAGTTCCACTGAGTCCAAGGTGGTGAGTGAGGCTGGAGGGCAGGCAGGTAGGGTCTTTGTATTTTTCCTGAATATGAAGATGATCCACGGAGAGCTGAGGTTGAAGGTGATAGCAAAGAAGGTCCAGGGAATCTGAAGCACATGAAACCAAAGTTAACAAGGAAAAAGTGGCAAGAGCGTAAAAAGCCATAGAGCCAATACCAACGTGAGGTCATTGACGAACTGGCGGTGAAGGAGAGTCTGAGGGGGCCTTAAATCCTCAACCTGATTGCCCTGAACCAGTCTCAGGTGTGCAGGACTGCAGCAGGGATGATGGCTCCGCCCAGGGGTGGAGACCAAGGAACTCAGGTGCCTGATGGAGTCTCCAGATCCTGACATGAAACAGTCCAATTCAGAATGTATTTGAAACAGACAAACAAAACTATTTAATGTCATTTTCCAACTAATTGGATAATTGAATATTGTAAACCGATAAAACTCACAGATGAACTTGGTCATGAGTTCTGCTTCTAGTGCTTTTCTACTCTTCTGGAGCACTTTATACCACATGCCTCATCACACAAGCACTTTATCTATAAACATTTACACATGTTCATACTCCCACGGATGCATCAGTGAACAACTTGAGGTTAGTATCTTGGCCAAGCCAAGGATTGAATCCCCAAGTGGACGAGTACTCATATGATGCTTTTCTACTCTGAGCATTTCCTACTACAAGCCGTATTCATCCAGGCACACACACATTCATACAAGCACTTTTTTTACATTCACAAAAGCTCAGACTTGGTAACATGCCACTAACCTCCTGACTGGTAAACATCAACCTCTACCACACTGAGACGCCTGTTGACTCTGAAGGGTTCTTCTCTTTGTTTTCCTTTCCTGGGCCGCTACTTTTGAGAGCTAATTTCATCATATAGTTTGAGACTGGATATTGAACCACATTTGCTTAATAGATAATCTGCTACCCTGCCCTCTACATATATTTTACTAACAAACTCATAATTTGAGAAAATTCAGTAACTTAACATTGATAGAAGAGAACTATTGCAACAGTATTTGTTTCTGTCTGTACTTGCATTACTCATGAGAGAGAAATGTGTTTGAGGTCCCTATATTGTAGGGTGAGCTAATGTTAGGTTTGGGTTTGTGTTGGAGAAAGTGTAGAGGGAAATAATGGAAGTCAAGTAAGTAGTACTGGATGTCTGAATGGTGAAGTGAAAGACAGTCAGGGCAGAGTCATAGCTGGAAGAATATTTTGTTGTTGCTGGGAATTTGTGTCAACTCAGTTTGTGCTTGAACAATCATCTGTTTGACAGGTTGCTCTCCTTGTGTAACTGGTCTGGACAAAAGGAAAGCAACCTGTTGGATTTTTAAACGTCTGGCAGTTCATCTGTTTTGGCATGCCAGCTCTTTGTAGGTTTAGAGATCAATGCCCTTTTCAAATAAAGACTTGGCTTTGGGTTGTGCCACCTACTCAGTCACACAGACTTATATGCATCTCTTATTTGCACAACAACAGGAATATTAACTGTAGTCATGCAGAGCTAAGTCAACATATGCACACATTATTTATTGTTTCACTTGGTAGTTAGGGCTGCTCGATTATGGCAAAAATGATAATCACGATTATTTTC